TTTTTTTTAACCTGATGACATTGAAGCAACACAACAATTTAGAGCGGGTTTAGTAATGATAGATGTTCTGAGTAAATATGCTGTGGTAGTGCCAATAAAGAGTAAAACCCCACCTGACATAATTGCTGGAACTATGGAAGGCTTAACCCCACCTGCCATAATTGCTGGAACTATGGAAGGCTTACACAAAATGGGAAAGAAGTGCAAACTTTTGTATACTGATGATGAAAGAGGTATAGCAAGTGCTGATGGTGAAGGCATTGAGGGCAAGAGGACATCCTGTCTTCGCTGAAAGATTTTTAGTATATTTAAGGGTAAGCCATTCAAAAGAGTTGAAAATGATGAGAAGAAGGGAAAGCAGAATATACAATGGACTGACTACATATTAGAAATAATGCTGACTTATAATAAAGATGTGCATAGTGCAACAGGACTAACACCAAATGAAGCAAGGAAAGAGAAGAATGAATTTAAAGCAAAATTGAATGTATCAGTGAAAGCAAGTAAATAAAATATGTATCCAACACTAGAGGTGGGAGACAGGGTAAAAATAATGAGGAAGAAAGCAATTACAGAGAAAGAGAGAACAAATCATTTTTTACAAGGTGAATATACAGTAGAAAACATTGCAACAAAATTAGGAAAACATCAAACATTAGAATGATTTAATCGTCCATTATTAAGGCACACATTGTTAAAAATATAGTTTATTTAACAAACAGACATTTTCAAGGAAATCTATTTAAAGAGCTATTATGTTATAACACTACTAAAAATCATAAAACAGCGCACTCTGACAAACACCCGGACTCAAAAAATATGGGTCACCACGAGAACCACCGTGGTCCAGTGGTTTTTTGATGGCATTACATGATCATTTATATGGGTAATCAACCCACGGAGACTAGACTAGAAGGTGGTGTGGGAGTTCAACATGGTTCACTTACAGGGGCATGCCCTTACACACATCTGCGACCCCCACTCAGCATCAACACCTCTACGTGGATGGACGCTCAAGAGTTGAACTATGTTGGACTGGGTTCGGTTCAGGCACGTGGCAAACGCTACGAAGTGCCCAGGGCCAAGGGTGGGGTCTTTGTATGCGCGTGAGCACGCGCGCGTGGGCGAAGTTGTGCACTACAACGAAGACCCAACAAAAGCCTACACCATGATGGCGCAGAATAAAAGGGACAAGAAGGGCGAATTTCAGATGGGTCAACTGGCACGGGGTCACACTCCAATCACCCTTTAAACAGCTCTGTACAACAAGGTCGGCACACAGGGGGCGTTTCCTGCCGACACCGCAGGCGTCCACTGGGACCGACCATCGGCTTCGAACCGGATCGAGCCAGGTATGACTTCGACCTCTTCACCATCGGCGGCGGCAGCGGCGGTGTGCGCGGCTCGCGCTGGGCCGCCATGCAATACGGCGCCAAGGTGGCGCGCTGGTCCTGGTGGTGGATGCCGGAAAGAGATCTTTTGCACTCCCTGGGCTGGTTATGGAACTGGAGTTCACCAGCTGTGTAATATTCGGATGTCATATTTCATCCGTCATGATTCCAAGGGAGTGGGTGAAACCCATCTGAGATCCTGTCGCCGATGGCACCGCATGGCACCGAGCTTGGGCACCGGCCAGCCCAGCTGGTGGTCCATATATATGGTGCGTGATCAGTAGACGTAGAAGTGGAATATCATGGATAATGGGTATAGAATGGTGCTGTATATATATATATATAAATATATTTAAGTGCTTCAATCTATTTGGTATAATTGGTGTATATATCTTTATATAACTCCACTTTATATAACATCAAAGTATATTATATTGTAGGTGGTTGCCTTCCAGGTGGCGGTGGCCGAGCTGCCCTTTGCCATCGTGAGCAGCAAACTCACAGCGGGTGGTTTGGGAGGTGAGCCGTCGGAGAACGGTCGGGGTTGGTGCATTTGTGCATCCATTAGGCATCCCATTGGGGCCATATGGCTCAGGATGGTTCAATGCTCTAATGTAGACTCTTGATTCATGAAACCTCCCCAGACATGAAAAGCCTCAAAACAGGCTTAAGGGGTTGAAACCGCAGGTGCACAAATAAAGAAGTGTACCAAGTTTTCATGAGAGTCCAAGGTGCGAGAACACGCACTTAAATCAAGAAGTGTACCAAAGAAGGGTAAACATGAAGCCCTTTGTTGTTCAAGCGGCAAAAGGGTGGCCGCTACTGCTGCAGGTTATGAGCCCAACGTGTTGGTAGGGGCGGTAAGTCCACCCAGTGGGCACCGAGTGGGTGCGCTGGTTGCTGGTCCCCATGGCCAAGCGGAGCGCAGCGGCCGCATCTTCGACCCCGGAGGAGGGCTCGATGGAGTCGGCGAAGGAAGAGGAGGTCCTGGCGCTGGAAGACGCTCGGGATGCCATGGTGCCAGTGACGGCGATGGTCTTGGCGGAGGGGCCGCCAGTGTCCTATGGGCCCCAGCGGAGGGGCGAAGCTCATGGAAAAGGGAAGGGTGATGGTGCGAAGGTGGTGCCGGTCAACCCGTTCTGGAGCGAGCGACTTCAGGCAGAAGCTCGGCTGAGAGCTATGAGGCCAGCGGCATTGCCGGATGGAGATGCTGCAGACGGGCCCCAACCCTCAGGACGGGTGGAGCCTGCGGATGAGGTGGGGGGGGTTTCAATGGACGTCAAGGAACTCCTCCGGGCAGTGATGACACAGA